ACCCCAGCTTGCTTTATTGATCACATGAACTCATTCACGTGTGAAACAAACCCAAGGTGAAAACAGGTAGTATTAACCCTATACAAGGCAGTCTCGTGCTTCAGTCCCTATAATCACTCCGCTAAACAATTGAAAACTTTGAATCTTCTATGTCTTCATCGCTGTTAAATCAAGCAACCAGGATTAGTTTCCTTCCCACCTTCCCATAGGTCCCCCACAACCATTTTCGATATTTGACAATTGATAAGATGTTACCTAATCCAAAAAAAAAGGAAAGAAAGAAAGAAATAAAGAAAGAAATGAAAAAAAACGCAGTCTTGGAGTTAGAAGAGAAAACCAAACAAAAATGAAATAATTGCACATTCTGTACCACTTATTGTCAAAATGTCTTCACATCAGGAGAAAAAAAAGTTGAAAAAAAGGAATGAATTTTTCTGAACATGTATTTTACCATCAAATGGCCATTTTTGAGGGTTGGTTTCACTGAAGCAAAAGAGATTCCTGACAACTTATTGAGGTATGTTCACCATTTAACATTTAAGACTCTGAGCTGATATCCCTCCTAAAAAGGGAGGAACTTATGAAATCACATGGCTTAGAAAGACCAACCCTTCTCTTCCCTTCCAATTTCAAAATTCTTTATCACTAATATTTTAAGACTATCATAAAAACCCAGCCCCTCTCAACTTATGGGCAGAACATGTTTCCAGATATGGTTTACAATAAAGTGTGAAGCTAGAGATCCAAGAACTACAACCACAGTTGTTAAAAAAGTACTTTATTTCTAAAAAGAACTTTAATGGTAGGAAATGTAATGAATATAGGGAAATTGAATCCTCCTTTGTACTCTCAAAGTGTGTGAGCAGTGGAGCTGCAAGCCATAGATAAAAGTTGCAAAACTGTAACTTTTCTTCTTCAAGACAAAATGAAATTATTTACAAAATCTAGAGTTCTACTGATTTGAAACTCAAATGTCAAAACATAGGGTCAGAATTTGAAGTGGCCAAATTATCTATATTTTGCAACAAGTCATATTGTGATAATGTGGAAAAGGAGCCAGACTGCAATGAGTTAAGAATGCCCCACAAAAATCTACCAAAGGATGTCTTACCTATTATCATATGTAACAAGAAAACAAGGT